TCAACCTAATTATACATTAAATTGACAATATAACATTTTTCACATTTTTATCTTCTTCTTTTTTTTTTTCTCTTTCTTGTTCAACGTTTCTTAAGAATTTACTAAAAGAATGTGCTATTGAGCGGGATCAATGGAGATGTAAATTTGTAATAGAAATTAAAGTGTAGGCAGCAAAAGAAGCATAATACTTGTTTAGCACATAGTTAATAGTTCTGTGAGTACTACTGCTTGTGCTGATAATATTACCATTTACCAATCAAGTAACTATACAGACTTATCGAATGACAAACTTGTCTGAAAAATCATCTGCAATCCAACAAGAAATACTAGTTTCAATAACCCTGCATTTGCAGCTTATATCATGGCATGCTTTGGAAAAAAAAACTAAATCAATCTCCCATTAGAGATCGTTCCAAGTGACTAAACGGCTACTAAGACGAAAATACTGCAAAAACATCAGTATCATGAAACTCAGTACAACATCAAACAGAATAGGATCAACCATCAAGGCTTCAAAGAATAATGATGTGTGTGCAATTCATAAAAAGGGAAAAATAGCGAACTATCTATGCTTTCAAAGAATAACAATGTGTTTGCTATTCTAAAACGGGAATCTTTTCTTTTCAAAGTCGGGTCTGTTTAAAAAACTGAATCTGGTGACTTGGATTTCTTCAACAAAATATCCTTCGCCTCATTGACCTTCGAAGCAAGATAATGGCTGCCGCCAGCATCAGGGTGATTAGCCACCATTACTCTTCTATGGGCCTCTCTGATTTTATCTTCAACTGTATGTTCCCTGTTTTTAATTAAAAAAATTAATAAATTCAAAAAGAAACACAAAATCAGCTCATCCCAACATAACATAATAACACCTCCATCTTGGAAAGCCAAGAACATATACGTGAATTTGCAGAGTGCTTGATTTTACTTTAGATTTTATACTTTATGAAATATCAGGGATACTTTTAATAAGTATCCTAATTTGTGGTGCTCGAGTCGAGTGTAAAGTGTTTACAAGTTTACAGGTAGAAAGAAAGACCTCACTCCAAGAATCAGTGCAGCCTCTCGCCTGGTCATGACTCGTTCGAATCCCCCGGGATAAAATCTACGAGCACGGGGAACTATAGGCCGAGCCTTAAATGCCTGCCATGCTGTAAGTAAAAATCGAGCTCCCAAAGCAGCTGTTCCAATGGTAGCACCAACAACTATAGGTGATGTCTATTGGGGAAAAAACAGAAGAAAAAAGGTTAATTTAAGATCATGAACACCAAAAAATCTCCCTTTAACTGAGATAAAACTAAAATCAAAACCAAGATATGAAATTCATATTACCCCGAACTCTGCATATTCATGTGATAGCCTCGTTAATAGTTGCTTAACGTACGTTTATCATATTTACCAATCTCGATAGACAAAATCACAAGGATGAAATGAAATTCCAGTAGAATGCTTATTAGTGTTACATGATATGATACAAATGAATTATGGAAAGGGAAGTCGATTGAAAGGAACATGGAAGATTAATTTCTCTACCATTGTCCGAACAATGAAAGCCACTATATTTTCCAGCCTACAACATTAAACACCCAATTGCAACATTAAATTCTAATTTCAACTGATGAACACACAAACTATCAGCTCAACCAAATCAATCACAATTCACATATATACATGACAAAAAAAACACAATAACCACAGTCGAGCTCTCAAATGAACATTCAAAAATAAATAGGCGGCTGCAAGAAAATACCATGGACATCTCTGCAAGAAACCCAGGAAAGGACAATATGTGAAATAACAGTTTCCAATCGAACACCTGAAACGAGGAAGAAGCGATTTGCATAAATAAATAAGACATAAAAACACAAAAAGGCGAAACCTTTACCAAATCTTAAGGGAGAAAATGGGCAGTATAGAAAGATATTAGCTGCAAACCTTCTCAAACAGGGGTTTTTTTTCAGCTCAGTGCAATAAAAAACGAAGCCCTAACTCTCAAATTATTCCCTTTTTTGCTTTCGGGTTCTATCTTTCAGATGAATAATTGGAGGCCCGTGAAGGGGTTTGTCCCTTTTTTCTTATGGGTTATTATGCGCCATTGGCTTGGAGGACAAGACAAGATACAATGGCGGCGGTGATTATTCTGCGTGTGCCTGTTGTTTTCTGGAAAATTCTTCAAGCAGCGAGAATAAAAAAGGAGTCTTTTTTGTTTTTTTTGTTTATTTTTAGTAATGTTATAATTATGAAATTGGAAATTAATAAAAAATACAAATAGTCTTTTTTTGTTTCTTTTTAGTAACGTTATAATATAATTATGAAATTGGAAAATTTAAAGAAAAATGTTTTTCCCATTTTAGTTTATTTTTGGGAAATTTTATTATATTAGCAAAAAATTGTTCTTTGTTGCTTATCAATGATTTGGTTGAATAACATAAAAAAAATTAAAATTAAAATGTTTTTTCTCCCTTAAAAACCTCATTTTCTTTAACTAGAAAATTTGGTTTTCTAATCTATATATATATATATATAATTGCTGGCAAGTTTTAATAAATTTTATTCCGTCAGCAATTAATAAAAATAGGAATTTATTTAATAAATTTTTTTATGACCAGCATTCAAATGACAATTACACAAATAAAATTTTATTATTATTGATTTTTTTATTTTATAACAACATTACAAGATTTTAAATTTTCTAAATATACAAAACTAAATTATTTTAAATTAGTCAAAATTTTAAAATGTAATACACACTTTATCTAATTTAAATTTTTTAATATCATATACGTACATATAATACATAAATTTTTATAAATTTTTGTTTTCTTTTGTGCATGTGCACAAGATCAAATTCTAGTTGGATGTTATTATGTTACAACTTATTATAGTGACGTTAAACGGATTAGCTTTAGCACGAACTAAAATAGTTATAATTAAACATGCTAATAATAATAATAAAAGACTCAATTATAACCTTAGCATGGCTCGAACTAAATGGATTATTAACAAACTAACTGGACAAATTTAGAATTCTCAGAAAATCTATGGAACCATCGAATGGCTTCCTTATGGAGTCTTCCATCATTTTACGTATTGATACATGTCCATAAGCCAAGTCATCCGAGGCTCTACAGCAAAACTGTTAGAATTCTTATGTGTGTATAACAATTAACAACATTTGGGCATGTCTTTATTTTTACTCAAAGCGAGATATCAGAAAATTGATACCAATTGAACTGCAATGTTATTTTCCATTTCTTTTTGTGCATATAATGTGCAGCATTGTTACATACATTAGGGACAATGGAAAAACACCTCACATGTAAAATGGTTAATTATAAAAAACTACCCATTAGACTTAGTGATTTACTCTAATTATTATAAAGTACACAAAGTAAACAAAACACTCTTGGTGTGTAACTTGCAAGATGAAAAAATATGTATGTTGATTGTTAGGTGAATATTTGTCATAAATATTTGTGTGTGTGCTTTGATGTGGAGTTAAGACACCAAACAGCTGTTTGTGCAGAAGCAATAAGAGGTTGTTTTATTGTTATTATTAAAGTGTTCAATGTAAGTTGTATACAGAGATATATCTCAGCTGAACCTCTTCAAAACAAGACTGGTGAAAATATAGTATTTTAGTTTGACAGAAAACAGTTGGGTACAAAAGTTAAGGTTGCTATGTGGTATAATAGATGCTTTCATCTACTCTATTTTGAGTTCAAATTTTTTTATTCAACTCATCAATTAATACATATGATTCTATGAGGGAAAAGATATGATTAAAAGAAATGTGATTTGAAGAAAATATAAGAGGTTTTGCTCAATTCTTATGTGAGATTGTTTAATTGCTAAGCGATCATACTCTACTCGTTCAAAACGACCTAATTAATTTGGTTGAACTATAATTTTATCTTTAATTGTTATGATTATACTTGAAATAATGTATAATAGCATTTTTGGAGATCATTATGTACAATAATTCTCGAAGGTAATTAATTAAACAATCCCAAATTGGGAAATTGAAATGATTAAACTAGATAGAGTGCAAATGGTATATAATTGAATTTCTTTAATTGTCATCTTTTAATTGAAGAATTGTAATATAGCCTATGGTGTAAATGGTTTTTATGACTTAAACCCTAGCAAGTTTAATAGCTTATAACATGAACAATTTAATTGGTATAGTCGATTTGATGATTAAATATGTGTCTTTGAAGTTTGAGCTCATTATGGAGCCAAAATTGATTATTATTATTTTTCCTAGTGCATGTTTGTCTTTATTTTCATTTACAACAAGTCAAGAAAATCTTAAATATAGGATTATTAACTTTCATTTATTCAAGAACATCCAAATTACTACCATAATTAACCAAAGGGACATCTAAAACATTATTATATCAAATATTCTTTTGTGTACATCATGATCATGACGTATATATTATTGAAAACACACAATTAATTACTTCAATTAACATTCTTTTTATAAAATAATATCATAAACTGAACTTAATAAAAGTAATTTTGTTTCTAGGAAGACCTAATCTTTAGGTGATTATACATATTTTAAGAATATATATACATGCGGACATGACATACTTTAAAAAATAATATAAACATCAATATGACATTTTTTATTTAGCATAAATATTCATTTTTTTTTTTTTCAAATATCATCAATAGACAAGTGAAGGGTTGGTCCAGAAATAGGTGCAAACTTTTTCTTTTTTCCTTTTAATAATAATAATAATAATAAAAGTAATAATATGATATAACATTAATATTATTGTCATTGTAATTTTATACTTTTAAATTCAAACGACTTACATATTGCCCCTTTAAAAGAACGAGTAACAAATTATTATTATTATTATTGTTATTTTTTTTTATTTTTTTTTTCAAACGATATCAATAGTATAACTTATAAGAACATAAATTGCAAGATCTGTCAACTGACATCAAAACAATTTGAGTAACAGTCATCCACTCATCAACCCATGTGAAAGAAGTAGTCATATATATAAACTTCCAAAAATTTCAATATATTCCTTGAATTAAAATGAACCACAATATACATAACAATTCTATAATTAAAAGAAAACAACAATCAAAATAAATGGGGAAAGAAGACACTGAAGAGATTAATGGCACCATAAAGTAGCACGAAAATAAAATTTTGAAAAATCTTCTCATTTATCCCTTGAATTGGTTATAATGTAATTGTATTACAAAAATTTCAACCCCTCTTTATTGCACCCTCTTTCTCTTCACCGTTTGATCCGAAAATCATAAATCCGTCGGTTACAAATTCACTTTCCCCCTCCAAATGCATCCCCACCCCCACCCCCCACTCACACATAGAGGTACATAATTCTTATTACTCATTCAATATTGTAATAATTTTTTACCATTAAATATAATATGTTAAAATATAGTATAAGTAGAAGTACATCATTTCATAAAAATATGTGATCTATTTTAGAAAAAAAGAATACGACTATCTAATAATTAGACAATATGTGAATTCTTGTTGTCATCCAAACACTAGCAATTGATATTATGTATGGTTCGACTCAATTTTAATATATTATTGACCATCAATAATCAAGCTCTAATGAATCTTAATTCATATGAACACGAATCGAGTTTGAACAGCTTCGTGTTTATATTTGGAGTCAAGTATCAAGTAGTATGATTCATTTGTTATCTAGATAACTTCATGCTTTTAAATACATTTGAAATATATACTTTTTTAGATATTAACGAAGTTGAATTTCACACAGTTCTAGTTAAATTTAGAGACAAAAATAGAAAAAACTCATCAAATTATCTAAATTATATAAGTTGAATATAAAAAAGCCTTATCTTTTTTTTTTTTTATTTAATTTCCCTATGCTATGTATGTACACATGATAGGTATAGCTTAGTTGTACTACTAGTAGATGTAGAGCAATAGCATTGCCATTACAATAAATATTATTGTTATTAATATTATTATGGTGGGTTGGCTTCTTCATTTTCTCCCATCTCTTTTGCTATCTCTCTCTTCTTTTAACCAATCCCATCTTAATTACTCCACACCTTCCTCTACCCACCATCCCAATATTTCTCTTGATTTCCATTTCCTCTTCTCACAAACCCACCCCACAAAAAAATAAAATAAAATAAAATAAAATCCTGCAAAGCACATATATAAATAAAATATGTGCATAAAAATATTGTGAGACCGTTACAAATATTTAGCTACACTGCCAAAAATAAAAACTTGGCCAGTGCCTTGACATATGCTTAACAGCACATGGAAAAAAAGAAAAAAAAAAAAAAAAGAAAAAAAAAAAAATCATCTCCCCTAAATTCCATATCATTTTCCATATCCAAATCCCATATATTTTTCTTCTCCCAATCACTTGTTTGGTTGATTGTTTATGGTATTTTACAAGCTTTTAGTGGTTGTGAGCTTTCTTGTTATGGGATTAGCTCCAAATCCGCTGGAGCTTCTTGATTACAGTATTAATTAATTAATCATCATATTTTTATTTATTTAAATACACACATACAAGTGTTTTTTGTTTTTGTCAACTTCTTGTGGGAACAGAGAAAAAAACAGAGGATAAAAACAAGAAACAGAACTTGTGAAGAATTTTACTGATGGAGTTTGGTGGTGGCGGCGGCGGTGGTGGTCGCAGCGGCGGCGGCGGCCACGACAAGTCCGATCCTCACCGGAGCAAAAAGCGATACCACCGCCACACGGCCCACCAAATCCAGAGGCTTGAAGGGTATGTATATATAATTATATATGCTCATTTTTTTCATATTATTTATATATACACACAACCACTAGCTCAAAGCCCATGCACATTTGACAAATGATGAGCATTTTATGGAACCCTTTTATGCATTTTATGTTTTTGTTTTCTATAATATGTCAATATTCCATTTTTTTAATAAAAAATTGAATCTTTGGACAAAAAATGGAATCTTTACAGAAATGGATATGTTTTATTCTCAGGTTGTTCAGAGAATGTCCACACCCAGATGAGAAGACAAGGACTCTTTTGAGCAGGGAGTTGGGTTTGCATCCTCGTCAGATCAAATTTTGGTTCCAAAATCGAAGGACTCAGATGAAGGTCTAATGTTATTTTTTGTAATCAACATGTTTTAAAAAATATAAACAATAACAGTAATTCTTGAATTTAAATTTGTTAAAATTAATTCAATTTTATGTGTTTTCAGGCACAGCATGAGAGAGCAGACAACTGTGCACTGAGGGCAGAGAATGACAAAATCAGATGTGAAAACATAGCTATTAGAGAAGCTCTCAAGAATGTGATTTGCCCTTCTTGTGGTGGGCCCCCACTTTCTGAAGATCCTTACTTTGATGAGCAAAAATTGCGCATGGAAAATGCCCACTTGAAAGATGAGGTCCTTAAATTCAATCCATTCCAATTTGGCTGTTTTTCCAATACTAGTCCGCCTTACTATTAGGCGGGTCGACCCGTCATACTTTCTTTTTAACAAAACATGCGTACTTTTACTGAGAAATGACAGAATTTTTTGTTTATGTTGACATTTGATGCAGTTTTCTATTTCTATAACCTTTTTTCAGCCAAAAAAAAAAAAAAGATCCAATCTTTTTAATAAGTGAACATTTGATGCATTTTTATGTTTTTCAATTGTGTTCTTCAGTTGGATAGAGTTTCTAGTGTTGCTGCAAAATACATAGGCAGGCCAATCTCACAGCTGCCACCTGTCCAACCCATCCACGTGTCCTCCTTGGATTTGTCCATGGCTGGCTACAGCTACGGACACGGCCTCGACCTCTTTCCCGATAATAACTCGATGAGCGTAATACCAAATTTGCCCTTCCCACCGACGAGCATTTCCGAAGTCGACAAATCCCTCATGGCTGACATGGCATCCCGTGCCATGGATGAGCTCGTTCGGCTCGTACAAGAAAACGAGTCGTTTTGGATGAAGTCTAGCTTCGATGGAAGGGAGATTCTTAATTTCGAGTGCTACGAAAGGGCTTTTCCGAGGCCTAATGGCTACTTGAAGAGCCCTAATATGAGAAGTGAGGCCTCGAGGGACTCGGGAGTTGTGATCATGAACGGTTTAGCGTTGGTCGATATGTTTATGGACGCGGTTAGTAGTTTTTTTTTTTTTTGTTTTAATTCATATATAGTTAACATGTTCAATTAGAAATGATGAAAGTTGTTATATGTTGCTAATTTTGACAGAATAAATGGGTGGAATTTTTTCCTACAATTGTATCAAGGGCAAGAACTGTGGAAGTAATATCAAATGGCACATTGCAATTGGTAAAATTTCTTCTTGAATCATTTCAAAAAAAGTTATATAATTGATTTGTTTGCTTTGGTTTAATTTGGGTCTTTTGCAGATGTATGCAGAATTGCAGGTCCTTTCAGCTCTAGTGCCAATTAGGCAGTTTTATTTCCTCAGATTCAGACGGCAAATCGAACAAGGCTCGTGGGCAATAGTCGATGTCTCGTACGAAATTCCTCATCAAGACACCCAATTTTCTTCGCCGTGTAGTAAAGCTCACAGGCTTCCTTCCGGATGCTTCATTCAAGAAATGCCCAACGGTTATTCAAAGGTATGCGAAAAAGTTCGAAAATCCCGATAATGCCTTTAAGTGTAGTTCTAAATTTTGCTTTTTTTTTTTAGGTCACGTGGGTCGAACATTGGGAAGTAGAAGATAAAGTGCCGGTCCACAGGCTTTACCATGAGCTCATCCACACCGGATTAGCCTTCGGAGCCGAAAGGTGGCTCTCGAATCTTCAACGGATGTGCGAACGAGTCGCGTGCCTAATGGTTGCTGGAAGCTCAACTCATGATCTTGGTGGAGGTAATTCATGAATTCATTAAATTCCCTAAAAAAAAAAAGAATAGGTACTCGAAT